AACAGGCATGACAATCTAATTAGGGTCAAGTTGTGATCACAATTGCCAAACGAGTGTCTGTAGTTCGAAAGAAAACAGATGTCTCATTCTGCACTACTTACCTGGAAATCTCTGTGAGATCGAAGTCATCGGGGGTAGTCTCATAACTAGCTATACTGCAAGTGTCTTCTAGAAACTATACTGGAAATAGAACAGCGAACCCATAAAAGAAGTTGAATGTTACCGTGGCCCAAAACGAGGGACCTTGAATGAAAGATGAGTGAGCATGGGATGTTGACTAAATATCATTGAACCGCCACCATCGAAGCAGTTTGAATAAATAAACACGCCTGTTGGTGTGCACATTTGTTATCAAGTTGCATATTGTCCCAGTACAGGTCACTGAATGGAGTTCTTAGGCGGGCAAACACACACACATTAGACAAACCGTGACGTAAATTGAATCCCTCGAAAACGACATAAAGATGTCATGAATTATCTCACCGAAAATATTTGCTGCTTTCAGATGTGTACCACTGTAAGCATTAAAAAAAATAACACAGGAATAAACCGACCTTGTTCGGATGCAAGATAGGCAACTTCTCAATCAACAACTACACGAATTAAATTGTGAAAGACAAATTTTTGGTATAGGCGAACATTTGCGTATTAAACTGGGTCTAATCACTGAGAATTCGTGCCACCTGTTGGGAATGCCCAAATAATAACGTCTAGAATGCGTACAACTCTTATCGATATATTCACTGGAAATTGATCACCAGCGGCTTTTCATCCGATAGATTCTTTAATGGACAAGGATTCGAAATTGAGACTGTTTATGACGGCTTCCTAGGAGACCGTTTTTCACTATCAGGACGAGCAATGTTTGACCAAACCAGAACACCATCGGTCTCTCCTTGGAAAGATGGGCGTGGAGTAAGCGCGTCTCATGTGGTCAAACCCGTAATCCATAAGTTTAACTTAACCCAAACNAAGTCGCGCCATGCTAGCGTGACATGGCTTTTTGTTTTTACACACACCGTGACGCATTCTGTCGCCACTGTGTACGCTCACCAATATCGCCTCCCGCCTCCGATTCGGAATTCGCATTTGGTATCTTTGGCCACCCCACCCCACTCCACCTTACTCCGCCTAAACACACACACANCCCACCATGACCAGAAAGCGCATTCTCAGTTTTCCCACCGGTAGTCATGGTGATCAGTCCAAATGCCCATTTCAGAACTTCAGCCAATTCATCTCAAACTGCACGGGATCGATATCGAATCGGTTGAACATCTCACAAGGGTGATGACTTGTGTATCATGCTGAAATTAGGACGAGTTGTTATTGTTGTTGTTGTTCTTATGCATGCACAGGGTCGAATGTTCTCGAAATCGGTTCCTCCACGGCACATGTTCAGGTTGTAATTTGCACATGTCAGACGAGTCACGCTGATGGTGTTGTAACTCAGTTAGTCAGACTATGTTGTGTTTTTGGGTGAACACCGTCCAGTTCTTCGTTAGAGGGTCAGTCCACGAAACATGACTGCTGAACGAAACGAATCCATCGGTCATCTGTTTAGATCATTGAATCAGCCAGTCAAGATCAAGTCTTAACCGGTGACAATTTTCATTAGATATATAATTGATTTTTTTCCTGTGTTTAACTTATTCGCATCCTTGGTTCCTGTCTTCCCGCCCTCATTCACAGATGCATCATGATTCTCATTCCGGTGGAACTATGGGAACCAAGAAAGAGGATCGTGTCAAACGTCCGATGAACGCGTTCATGGTATGGTCCCGTGGACAGCGCAGGCGAATGGCACAGGAGAATCCAAAAATGCACAACTCAGAGATTAGCAAACGATTGGGATCCATGTGGAAGGGTTTGTGTGAGGCTGAAAAGAAGCCGTTCATCGATGAGGCAAAACGACTCCGGGCGAATCATATGGCTCAGTATCCGGACTACAAATATCGACCAAGAAGGAAACACAAGCCTCTGGACAAGCAGAAGAAACCGTCTACCACACTAAACGCGGCCGTAATGGGTGGATATATGGGTGGTTCGTTGACCGGGGCTGGCTTAGTTGGTCGAGCCGGAGTGGGTTTGGTTCATGGTGCCCGAACAATGACCAGTCTATTTGATGCGCTTGGTTCCAGTTCCCCAAATGTGCATCATTTCAGTCAGCATTTGCACAAACATGAACACCATCATCATCTACACGGACTGTTCGCAAATTCACATCAAACCACTAACGTGTACACCGGTTCCTTGTCCACACAACCACACTCCATGTCTGCAGTTCCGTCCGCTTCGCAGCAAGCAGCACCACCCTCAGTAGGACACTTGTCCACAAGTACTGCCTCACTTCAGATGCAACCGTCGGCTTTGCAAGCACCACTAGGGCCACCCCCGCCACCGCCACCGCCTTACTTGAATTCGCATTTAGCTGGTCTCATGAGTGAGCATTCCCCGTTTTCCATGTTTCATCCTTCCCATGGTGGTTTCCATTCATCTCTTACCGCTAATCCTCAAACAAATGAAGCATCACCTGTCCAACATTACTACCCGCCAACATTATCGGCAATCAGTGATGAAGATGGTGGTTTACGACATTCACGTCTACTAAATTCAGGATTCGATAATTCATTATCGAACTATCATTCAACATACACATCAAGTTCTAGTGCGTATCCAGGCCGTGTTGGCTTAGGGGGTCCGGAAGGAGCCTACCGTGATAGGTCGGGAATTGATGAGCCTTTTGGACGCACACAGACATTCTCTGGTCTCTCTAACTCACTAGAGCCTACTGGGCTTGGAGTTAATCAACGCGGTGATGGGGAAACGCCGGGAGATGGCACACAATCGTTTCCCACCATGACATCCACATCCCTCTCTGCGGTAGCAGCGGCAGCCTTAGCAGCAGCGGCAGCTTCAGACGGGCGAACAGAGATGTCATCACGTCGCAGCCCGTCCTCCCAGTCGCTGATGCATCATTTAGGTCCGGCATCCTGGTCTCTACTATGCCCAAATGGAGCCAATGACAGCACAAATTTGGGCCAGAGTGGCGACCGTGCCGATCGACCAACCATTAGGTCAAGTCATACCGGCGGTTCCAGTATTGATTCCCCTCCATCCTTTTCAGCGGGCCGAAGAAGTGGTTCCAGTACACCAGTTCAAGCCACAAGCAATGGAAGTAATGCGACCAGTAGCAGCGGTAATCAGAACAATTCCAGTAACTGCAACAACAATAACAATAATGCAGCTGCTGCAATGATGGCAGCTGTGGCAGCAGCCAATTATGCAGCATCAAAATTAGCTTATTATAGCAACGCGGGACAGTCGGAGATCAATACAGATGGACGTCTAAGCGGATCGGGTGAGACGGGGAATTTTTCAGGCCTTTCGGATCCATCTTGTTCATGGTTCAATTATGATACACCCGGACTTCCTAATCGAAATGCCATTTCTTCCTGGCCTGTACTGAACGCAAAATCCGGTTCACAACACATTACTCGCACTGGCCCGTCAGCTCATAGCCCAAATCGATCGATGACCGATACACAGTCCGCATACGGTGCGGCTTATGCACACCTGGAGAACTATAACTCGTTGACAACAGGCACAGAGTCATCTGCTACTGTCAGCCAAAACGCCGGTGTAAATCCGCGTTCCACTTGGTTTGAACGGTATGAATGCGCAAGTCCGGGAAACAGAGACAGTTCACCGAGTGCAGCCGCGTCCAATTTCAGTATGCAACATTTGGCAAATCGCGTTTATTCCAGTCGTGCTTTTGGTTTCGATCATTCCAATCCCCTGCGAACCAAAGATAACAATCCTCCCTAAAGAGTGTGTGAATTTATAAATCCGTTTGTCACTTTCGGAAAAATACCTCCATTTTTGCAGGTCCAAACTACGATTCACCCGTTCACAATGAACATATTTAATCACGCCACCACCTATTATGAGCCCTTAGTTGCATTCAAGTTCAGGATGATATCACGAGCCCATTGCTTACGGAATCGCGCCAAAATCCTGGAAAAAGGACTCATACGTGTTTGAAAAAACAGATATAACTGTTAACAGTTCACTGATCATGATGACTAGCGAAATGAACTGTTAAAAAGTTACCTCAAAGATAAAGGTGTGCACACATGAATAGACACACATGAAAAGCACAGTCAAACATGCATGCATACATATATACATACACACAGACATGCATACATAAATATATGCATGCGCATACACAAACACGCGCGACCACACACACAAGTTATTAACCCCTCATGTCTTTCGAAACTGTACTTGAATTCTAACCGACTCTATGTCTTCTGGTCTGCTCCGTTTAAAAGCGTAAACAATTTTTCTACATACGGGATTTTTGTTTCGATTTTATTGCCTATCGAAATGGATATTGTGACATTTGTGTATTCATGAACTATCGTACTTACCCTCCCCCTTGGCGCATCCCATTTCACCACCAATCGGTAGTTGTGTACATTAACCTAATTTACGTGACAAATGACGGTGCTTCCTCAGTGGTGACATTCAACACCGCGATCCAAATTGACAAATCTTAATCACCGTGAAAATCATTTTGATGGTAATTTCGTTTATCTGCCTCCCACTCGCAAATGTCTCTCGGTTTGAGGATACACCATCATTCACATTCCTGTTTTCGAAACCAACCAGGTCCCTTCCACTATTCCACTTCACTCACCCCTGACATGGACAATGATCGATCATTTCTTTAAATTCTATTGAAACCGTATTCAGTATACATAAATCGGTAGCCAATCGTTTTTTATAAACATAGAGTTGAATTTTGTGTCCTCATTCTTGTGCACAACAAATGTGAGTCTGTGAGCGTAAACATGCATGCAAGCTGGTGGTACATTTATCCTCTTACCTTCACACAAACAAACACACACGTTTCAATTCGAACTCCTGCATAAAAGATTCATGTTTTTTGCAGCATCCCCTACAATTTGTTTCTGATCTGCCCAGTTTATTACTACTACTACTACTACATTTCCTTGTACAAAGCAAGTTCTATCAGTGGCAAATGCTATACTACAAATAGTTGACTCGTGTTTTGTGAAATTTCACCTGTGATGAATAAAAAGATGAGTTCAATAACAAGCGTTTCAGTGCCAAATTAGATAGTATTCGATTATAGAGATACCAATGTGGACAACGGATCCAGTCAGTAGTCGGCATTTATAGGTAAAATGATCATCTTGCTCTCCCATACCTAGTGCATTTAAAACAAAGAACAAACGGAATGATTCTGAGGATGTGAGTACTGCAACTGAAATATTATTCCTGTGGTCAACTTTGATCGGAACAGTGGCTCGTTGTTCATACGTTCGTGCACCGATGGGATTGTCGGAAGGTGAAGAATCCAAAGATAGACATAACTTTGGATAAGTATTGCCGTAAGTTAGAATTTAGCCAGTTATCCGATCGGTGACAATGCTGTGAACCTGTAACAACCTAACTCGTTAAATAGGAGTCTGTGGTGTCTCTTCTCCCTCTTAGTTTTTGGTTAAATATTTTCGCCAATAACTTTTAACGCATACACAACCCCGATCGAAAATAGTGATGTTTTTATTTTCCGTTGGGTGACTTGTGAACATCCTAGCCAAAGAGCTATCAGTCTATTCAGGTATCATTCTAACTATGGTACACATGTGAACATTAGCCAGAGGATTTCTTCCCGTCTATTGTATGACACCACGATATACTTTCTGTAGGCTGGTCATTTATTATTTTCTTAACCGATCATTTTAATTCGTTTTTACCTCCTCCGGCACTAACTGCTATCGAGTCTCATTTAAGTTAGCACCTGTCTCTGCTGGATAAGTAGCGATTTCACAGGTGACGATTTGGAAGGATCAAAGTCCTGGGAATTTCACATCTGTTATATGATAAGTTTTCTTTATGTTCGGCAGCATTGTTGACCAACCGCTAGAATTTCCTTGGTGCGTTTCACCCGGTCCTGTGCACTCTCACTAGTCACAGATGCTGTTTCTTCACCCATCGACGTTCCAAATGACGTAACAATCTTTGATACATTGCAACAATCCGTTGGAATCTTGGAACTCAACAAGGTGGAATACAAATGTACAATAAATTGACTTTTCTGGAAAAGTGGAAACGCGATAAGGATGCCCGACTGTTGCGGGAGCTGAAAATGACATCGCTCATTGCAGTCGATCAACGGAATTTTGCTGCGACTAGATCGCCATTGCTGTGGTGCCTATTACTCTTTCAAAACGTTCTCGTGTAAATGATGCGTAATGCAGTAGATCGGAATGAATTCTGATAGCTTCATAGGTCTTTGCATGTAGGTGTAGAGTCACTTTGGCTCCTTACCAGGTTGGTGAACAGGCCGGTTACTGATAGCGCAAAAATATGTTACAAAGTGCACAAATGAGATAAAGATAGAAGTG